GTTTGGTGTTTGCTTTTTTGATGATGTTTGTTTGAGTACTGTTCATTATACAGGAGCGAGATGATGCACTAAGACGAGCAAAAGCTAGCGGATCTCACTCATTTGAGCATTTTCGGGCAACACGTGTTCCTTCAGAAATCCGTTCATTCGATAGTAGTTTGTGAGTTTTTAGATGAAAATGGCGTGCCAAATTTTTGGCTTATCGCAAAAAGAGCTCTTAGCATGTTATAGTTCTTAATGGGGTCGTTAAGAAACTACAATTAGTATGCAAACGAACTAATGCGTTATTACTTCTTTTTTCAACTAATTCAACATGTTTAGCTTCTGTGAGAATTTGCAGTGGTAAGTTTGTTTTGAATGTTTCTGATTTGGTATTTCTTAACTTGCATTTACCCACACAAAATATGCTTCTTACTGGAAAAAGAGTAAGAGATTTAATTTTATACTCGCTCAGCTAAAAAGACCGTCTTTTAAAATCAATCTGTCGCCTGTCTACTCTGCGCCTCTGATTGGCCAGAGCTATAGCTATGGTTGGTTGGGCCATTCGAGCTGGCTGGCAAGAGTGGGCAGGGTAACAGAGCGGTTTAGAAAGACCTACACCCGCAGAATTTGTTGAGCGAGAGCCTCAAGATTTGTGTATGCAGTTAGCCGAAAATTTCTAAATATTATTGTTTCAGATCTGATATCTATGTCCCTCGCGATGTGATCTGCGGCTTAAGTCCCAATGAGCTTCGTTCTAGCGAAGAAGAAGTAGGTATAGACCTAGAGGAAACGGTTTGATGGAATAATAGCCTTTGTTAATTTATCTTGTTCCTTCTCAAGTCATTCACCGTTCCTTTTATTGAGTCTGGAATATATGTACGAGTATGCCCTTGGTTTTTTTTCGGGTACAGTCTCGTCGATAAAAAAGTTTATTTCGTTTTCGTGATTTTGATGATATATTTTTCAAGTATTTGGTCATTATATCTGGAATCGGTGAGGTGGACGGTTTGTATTTTTTTCAATTCCTTAATTCAGCAACAAATACCCAGAAATGTTCATGAGTATCTCATAGAAGATGAGGATGATGAGGAAAGATTTGCAACCAGCTTTTGAAAGTGCATAAGGTAATGTTATTTTGATGCTGGTTCAAGTGTTGTCACTTGTAAGTTATGAGATCTTTTTCATTTCAATTTTATTTGTGGTGCGGGAACGCTGAGATTGCAGCATCAGTAGGAGTCGTTAAGAAATGTAGATGAAGAGTTAATAATTGTAATTGATGCTGCAGCCATTCTCACGGCGTCTGCAATGGCGTTTTTCTTAAATCGACCAGTCAACCACAAACAATCTTTCGTTGAAAGACTTTGCTTTTTTTGATGAATCGTATC